AGCTCACAGAAACACTGGCAGAGGAGAGGAGGAGGAGAGAAGCTGCAGAAGAGGCTCTTGGACTCTCTGAGGAGAGAAGTAACAGGTAAAACACAGACTGTTTGCCTTTTATTTTCTGTGAGATTAGTGAGAGGTTTTCCTGTGGGTCTTTGATTTTTTTGAGATACTACTACTACTTCTAATAGTAATAAACAAACCTGTGTGTGAGCCCACAGTGCCCAAAGTAGTGAAAATCCATGTGTTAAAAAGCTGAGTTAAACACTAGATCAAGAAAGTGTTATAGGCTTTGGGATTTTTTTAAATTTAATTTCATCTGTTAGACTGTTCATCTGTTAGTAGTCAGTGCTATTTCTTTTTTTCGAGGTTAGGAAAACAATTTCCTATATAACAACTTCAGTAGAGCCACTGGTTAGATTGAAAATATTATTATGCACCTACATAAATAGAGTCCCTCACTACCATCACCTGAAAATCACTGTTCAGTCAGCTGGTGATGATGGGGATTAATTCTGAATAAATGAAGCACCTTGAGAGTAGATTGTAAATGGAGACTGAAAAAGACCTGGCAGGATAAAGTGAGTCAGCATTTTGTGAGGACCTTCCCTTAGCCATTTTAATATGCAAAATAATGGCTTTTGTGTCAATTCAATACTTAAAAGAGGGGATAATTCAGCAGTGCATGTGTCTGTGCCTTGAATTTTCTTCTAGATTTGAAGTAGGCAGTTACAGGTCTGTCCCCAGTGACTACACTGTCCAAATGGACGACGAGGAGGAGAGGGAAGCCTTAATTATCAATCCCAGTGAACACGTTGTTGTGAGAAAGGTAAGGGAATGAAGGCCTTTAAAAACCCTGAGCTCCTTAAAGGTGGTGGAAAAACATCCTTCGCTTCTTTCTGTTGGGGCTGTGAGTCCACGACCAGCAGCTGTGTGAACCGTGCCAGAACACACACTGCATATGTCCAGGTTAAAAACTGTATGTAATCATATTTATACTACATGTGTGGCCGTTAAATAAACTGTGTCTGCATTTAATTATGCATGCCCAAAATGCAGTATGCATGTGGGTGTGTGGAGCTGCATAATACACAGCTTGGGTTCATTCCTTCCCCTCTCATTAGTGCTGGGTTTGGGGCCTTTAAATCATCTGTGCTTTGGTATTTGGCATCGCTTGTGTTTTGGGGTCAATTGCTGTGTCAGAGACAGAAGGTTTGTGGTGCCTCAGAAATCCAGGCTGCAGGGGAGCTGTTCCTGGTTTGTATTCCTGATTCTTCCTCTGCTAACTTTTGTCTCTTCCTCAGATGAAAGGAGGAGCCCTTTCCTTGCGCCGCTGGCTCCGGGGGCGAAGCCTTTACTGCTCCAAGCTGCTGACGGCCCGAGCCAAGTCCCGCTATTTATTCCTCACCTACCTGGTCACACTACACCTCCTTGTTGTCCTGTGCCTCGCTGGTGTGCTCTGAATCCACTGCCCTCCCTGGGTGGCTCCTTCCCCTGCGGGCAGTGCCAGTCCCAGCCCCGAGGCTCCTCACATGCTGCTGTTGTGCTATGCACTGGACACAGTTGTGCAAATCCCTGGGACACTGCACCGAACCTCGAGCTTCTCCAGTGAAATTCCTGCATATCACACTTGCTCCAAAGTTGACTTGAATTGCTCTTTTACAGTGGGATATTATATTTGTAAGGAGAAAATATTCCCCTCTGCCCTATAAGGAAACTGCTGCATACAAGTTATTTAATATCGTTTGTGGGTACATAATGGTTGATTACTACTGAATGGGTTGTAAATGATATCTTTTCTATACAAATTTTATTTTAAGAGTTAAGCTATAAATTCTAAAGGAATATCAGACTATTACTGTATATTGGCTTCTTGATTATGACAAGAAGTTTTATGGAGTGCAATAAAGGAAGAACTACTGGATTTTTGATTTTCTTTGGTTGGTTAGGTGGTTTTTCTTTTATTTGGCTGGAAATAAAAGAATTAAGAAGGTTCTTTCCCATTAAGTTTGTAAAGAACTCAAGATGCACAGATCTGTGTGTGGTAATGAGGTAAGCTCATGATTAAAGATTCAGTAAAGATTCACAACTGAGGTGACATAAATAATTCCAGCTTTTTATATTTTTGTAATTTTTTTTTTCTGTAACTTGTGGGGGGTTCAGTATTTTTTAAATTTACTTGCACTTTTCTTGGTGGGGCTTAGTTCCTGCCTGTCTTGGAGGCAAAATGTTACTCAGCTGCAGAACGTGAAATTCAAGCTTCTAAAGACACAACCTCACATATTTTACATGTTTCAGCTTCAAGGTACAAATCAATAAATTCAGCTAAGAATCTTGGGGGAAAAGGAAAACCCAGTGAATATGGAAAAGGAAGGATTCCATCGGTTTTACTGATGAGCAGAAACAAGGTTGACTTGGAGATATTTTAGTGAAGTGATTTATCTGCTAAAGAGGTAGTTACTGCTGCAGGTAAATACTGTAAACCACCTTCTTTTGATGGTATTTAATATTTCTTAGTCTGGTAAAGGTGTGGATTTTTATATAAATCAAATATATTCTGCTAAAATTGATTTTTTTTTAAATAGTGATGGTTCATCTCCTTTGAGTGGCTGATTCAGTCCCTATGTTCAGCCCTGGTGTCACCCAAATACTGAGATAACTCATAAACACCAGGTACAGTAGGAACATGAGTACTGATGATGCTGACTTTTCCCTTCCCAGCCTGAAAATGGGTGTTAGCAGAATGATAATGAGCTTTTCTTAGCTAATTATGTTATAATGAAGCAGAATGCTTTCCAAAGGCAACAATGGCCCTTCAGTCCTTCCAGTCTTACTCATCCAGTGTGATGGATTTTTGTCCTTGGGGGAGAAAAAACAACCCTCTGTCCTGAGGCTAAATGAGTGGGAAGGGATCCAGAGGTGTTTGAAATTCTGTCCTGCTTTCTTCAGGCCTTCGTGCTGTCGCTGTGATAAACACAAACTGGAAAAAAAAGTCAAATGGCTTGACATGTAGATATCCTGTGAACTCCATTCCAGAAGCTGATGAAAATGTATTGGGAGGTGAGCTCATGTCATTTATGAGCAGCTTCTCCTGGATAAACATTGCCCTGAGAGTGTGCTCATGCTATAGTTCATTATTTAAATGCTTGACTTGACTTGCTGTGAGATCAAGTAAATTGAGGAAATTTGTTTAAAATTCTCTGCCTTCAAATTCCAGTGTCTCAGCTGATGCAATTCCTGATGTATTTAAGACCTGAATTTCCCTCTGGTTTGTGGTGTTGGAGCCAGAGTCTGGGTGCAGTGCTGTGATGTTGGATACTGCTGGTAAATAATGGGGTTATTGCAGTCCAAAGCCCTTTCCTGAGGGTTTTTGGAGCAAATAATTCATGGCAATGTCAATTAATGTTCAAACCCACCAGCTACTATAACTAAGGGACAAACATTCCCACATTAAAGCTCTTTCCAAATTTATGTGATAAAATCCATTTTTGCCTTGTTAGGGACAAGAACTTTGCTGGACAAGTGCTGTTTTTCATTCCCATTTCTGAAGTACCTTTCCTTACAGAGTGAAGTTGCCAAAGAAGGGAAAATAAAATCTTTCCCTTCTTTCAATTGCCTAAAGAGGCAGTTTTCTAGTCCTGAAAATAGCCCAGGGATCCATAATGGGTCCTGCCCTTGGGGAGGGTTTTGCCATGAATTTCAGGGAGACCAGGACTTGGAGGTTTTGGCCAGCTCCTGAAGCTGAGGTGTTCCTGTGCCAGCTGCCTTTTGTTCTTTTTCCCAGAACAGCCACTTTCATGGAGTGTTTGCCACTTACATGGAATAGGTCCTGGAGTGAGCTCTCTGCATTGCAGAGTGGCTGCCACTTGGAAACACATGGCAAATGCTTCCCCAGAACTTTTGCTGGGGGTTATTTTTAGTTTGTTCGAGATTGATGATCACCCTCAAAAAAAAAAAAAAAAAAAAAAAAGAAGAAAAAATCAATTTTCAATGTTCCATGCGGGAAAAACCTGCAGTCTCTGAAGTAACAGATGTTTTTGGTGGTTTATTTACCATTAACTACTAATGTTACAGCTGGTATGTGCATACAATTAATTAATTTTAAACAAAGGAACTTTCCAGAAGATAACTTCCCCTCGGAAGAGGTGAGATTTATGCTTAGGTCCCAGTAGAGCTAAGTGTGTGTCCTGTAGCTGAGCTTGCCCATGGTTATGAGGCAAATTAACAGGATCACAGAACCCTGGAGGCTGCAGCAGGAGATTTCCCCTCTGGAAGAAACAAAAGGCTGCCAATGTCCTGATTCATTTGCTTTGTGAAATCCTATTCAAGTGGGAATTTATGTGGATGCTTCACATGCTTGGTAAGATCCATTGATTTTGCTGGCTAGGTTTCTTCTTTCCCAGAAATAGTGTTTTAATGATATGAAAGTGTCTTATGGAAGACAAGCCCCACCTGTTGGAATGTGTTCATATCTTGAGTCACATTTTGATTTTTCTGGGGTGTCAAAACTCCCCTGAAGTTCTGTGTGATAAATAACATTTTACCTCATATCTTGTGATATTATTTGGGGCAATCATGACAGACTACCTTATGCAAATGTGATAAACTTAGTAAAATCAGTATTTAATAAGTGGTTTTTCTTTTAGATGATCTGTCTCCCCTTTATATTAATGAGTTTTTCAAAACCATTTGACTTACACCAAGGGGGAACCTCACTGTTAAAAGGCAGAATAATGGAACTACTTAGAGAGCAACCAAATAAGTGAATCTAGAGAAATGGTATCTTTTCCACCTCTAATTCCTTCCCTTTATTCCTCTGTGCAATGACAGAGGACCCATTCCTTGTGGAGAGCCATGAGTTTGCTGATGCTCACCTCGACTGGGCTCCTGTGTGATCAGAAGCAGCACTTCATTTTTGAAGCTGCCTTGGTATTTCTGGAGGGTTTATGGATGGAATTATTGCGAAGTGGTTACCCACACATTCTCATTTTAGTTCCTCGCATGTTTTGGGGGTGCATTCTGTGAGGGCAGGAGCAGGAACGGGAAGTTTTGAGTTAAAAACAGTATTTTGTCCATGATGTTCCTGACAAACTGCACTAATATTAGAATAATTAGTGTTTTGCAGGGTGTTATGGTTGGAATGGGTCAAAAATACAGCAATGCAGGGGATGAAGCACAAAGTAAAAGAGGGATCCTGACACTGGAACATCCCAATGAATGTGGAATCATCATTAACTGGGATGATGTGGGAAAGGTGGGTGTTTTATTTGTTTTTATATTTACACATACTTGGCAGTCATGAAGTTCCTACTGAGGCAAAACATTTGACAGTGATAGAAGCTAAAGTTTAAAAAGAAAATACAGGTTGCAATTCATCAGAGGTGAATTGGAGAAATATTAAATTACTGAAATTGGGAACAAAGCCTGTGAAGTGCAGGGTGGGAGGGTTATTTTCTCTCCTTAGAACTGACCTGCATGAGCAAGAGGATGGGTGATGCCCACATCTCATGTGACATTTTCACTGTCACTTCCAGAAGAAAGGACAGACTGGGGCTTCCTATCCCTATACTGATCCTTTGAGAGGAGGGTTTTTATTATTTTTTTTCCTGAAGCATGTTTTTCTGTTGCCAAAAGTTAGCATTTTGTGTCTGGGTGGTCAGAAGGCATCTTTATTCCCCGTCCAGCACCACTTCCTTGGCATTGTGCAATGAGCTCTGGGGGAAATGCCAGTCCAGGAGGTCCCAGGTGCAGGAAACAAGGTGTGCTTGCAGGAGAAGCTGCTAAATATCTTAAATATCCCAAGTGTCCTGGTCTCTTTGGAAAGTATCTGGCTCTGTATGTGGGAAAGACTGTACTGTTTGGGGGGAAGCTCCACAGGGAAATGCTCCTGGTGCTGTTTTCCTGTAGAAAATACAGGGCTGGGGTTGCTCTGTACTCTGCTCGCTAGGATGAGGTGTAGTTATGATCCAGGTATCTGAATTATCTCAGCTCCTGTGCCATATCCATGGACCCAAGCTGTTCCCAATGAACAGACCAAAGCTGATCCAGGAGCAGTGGGAGTTCCTCAGTTGATATTTGGAAATAAATAAATTGCCCACTTACTCCTCTAGATGGAAGCACAGTACTTGGATTTCATTCTCTCCCTGCTTGCTGCGAGCACACTTTTCTAACTACATCCCGTTTTTTTTTCTACCTCAGAGTTTTCTTGCTGTCTGCATTCAGCAAGGAATAACATTTTCCTGTAGGAAAAAAAAAAAAAATCGAATTGTAGGGCCATACTTTGTGTTCCCTCATCTGCATCTGGCGATCATCTGTGCACAGCACACACCAGTGCCTGTTCCTTCTCTGCGGAATGCTGGATGCAAGAGCAGCCCCTCGGAAACTGAGTTAGAAGAAGGAATTAAGGCAGGTTAAAAAAGGTGGGATGTGCTTTCCTGTAGTGTGATTATTTTTAGGGTGTAACGTGGTGGAGGCCTCAGGCAGTGCTGTAACTCAAACAATGGTCAGGTACTGAATGGGCTCTTGCAGCTTAAGCTTTCCTTCTTTTTGTCTCTTGGATGGAGGAATTACCTGTGGAAGTGGCTCCCTAGCCCAGACTGGTAGGGAAGGGACGAGAAACAGAGTTGATAACTGTTGTGTTTACTCCAAATAAGACAAAAAGGGTGATTGTGGATCCTTGTGTGATTTTGATTCAAGCCGCAAATTCCTTCCCAGTGCTTGGAAATCCTACTCCTGAAAGCACCAGGATGTGGAGGAAACAAGAGAATTCCTGGGTAACGTGCCAAAAATGGGACAAAAGCACAGCAGTGCAGTGCCCAGCCATCCACAGGGTACAAAAGGAGGGTCCCCAAAGGCTGAGGCCGGGTGTGTGAGGGGGAGCAGGAGTGGGAATGGTGCAGTGTGGGAATCAGAAAAATAGAAACTTCCACAGACACTGAAGGGTTTCATTTGCAGCCCTGGGAGAAACTTAGATTGATGTAAAAATACAATACACAACCATTAAGCAGAAAGATCATAAAGTTATGTTTCTATGGCTGTAAAAATAAGTAAGAAACTGTATTGATAAGATGATGAAGGGTTTATAATGTAGGGGTGTGGTTGTGTAGAATAAGCTAAGGGTTTACAAGTTGTAACAAAAATATATGTGTGATGTGAGACAGAAGCCCATTAGACAAAAGTATCCACAGTGCAGCAAAGGAAGAAAAGGTGATAGAAAAACAAAATCAACCCTTTAACAACTGTCTGTTAAGTTAGAAAACTATATATTGCCTTATAACCAAGAAACTTGTGACTACTCTTGAGCTATAGCTGATGGCTTCCTCCTTTAAAGTCTCTCAGCCTCTAAGACTGATTTATCTGAACAATAAATCGTTCTTAACCTGAAAATATCCCATCCCTTCATTGCCAACGACAGCAACGATAGTGTGGGATGCATGGGCGACCGTGGGAATGGAGGAGGAGCACAGGCAGCCGTGCAATGGAGCATTCCTGCTCTCCTGTGCTTCAATTCACAATATCCCAGCTGGAAAAGAGCACAGGCCATTGTCCATCCCTGGGCATTTGTTCCCAGGAGCTGACAGTGGATGGGAGGGAAGGCGTGGGGACCCAGCGTTTTCTGGCACTGGTGACAACGTAAATGTTTAATAGAAATGCTGGGATAATTTGGGATATTTCCTCCTCAGTAATTTCTCTTTGCCAGTGTGCCTGCTGCTCACATTTAACTCTCATAACCTATAAAATCAGCACTGCATTCTTTTGGTTCTGCTAGAGTATCGCTATCCATTAACATTCCGGTTATCATGAGGTCAGATTTCATGGGCTGTGCAGGGCCTGATTGTGCCTGGTTTTGAGGGAAAACTTGGGAAGTGCCACACTTTTAGGCAGGCTCCTGCTTTATGAGTCCAGGTCTCTTCCTTACTGCTGAAACCACCCATACTTTGGGAGTTTTGTAAGCACAGAGGTTTCCTTCTCTTCCCTTATTTCTTTCCTGTCTGAAATAGCAGTAATTTTCTTCTTACATCTGATTAATGGATATATATTTTTTAACTTTCACATAATTGCTTTCTGGTTTATTCAACTTCTCCCTGCATTTGTATTCCAAACCTTCAAATGAAGGATGGCCTGGCATCCCAAAGCCCAGTTCAAGAAATATCTGATTATTTCTTTTTCTTAGAAGGTTGATATATAATTGAATTGTTTCAAACAGCTGGTGATTTTAATTAATAACTCCAGCTCTGAACAGATGTTGATATTGTAGGTGCTTCAAATTTAGAGAGGATCTCTTTTCCATTTAAGTTCATTTTGGGGAATAATAATACTTGTTTCTAGGGCAAATATTTGTTTTTAGGATATTCTTCAAATAAACTTATCCATAAAACTATCCTGATGTTTTGTGTTAGGTCAGAAAAAAAAAATGAGATAAAAAGAGAATAAACACCCAACCCAGTGAATTTGGTTGAATTTGGTGAATAAATGTGAGTTTGGCAGATTTGCTCTTGCATGCTTTCTGTCTATTTTAATATGGCAGTAAAAATATGAGTAAAATTTTTTTAAAGCAATTATTTTTATTATATGAAATATATTCCACGTATTTAAAATATTATTATTTAATATAATGTAATATATTACTTACTGAAAGTAATATAATAAAAAATACATTACTCAGGCTGTATTTGAAAACCTTATGGCTTTGGGCCAAAAGTCCACATGGTAAATTTATCCAGGGATAGAAGTAAGTGTGATTTAAATGCAGAATATAGGTATAGAATCACCTAGGGAAAAGAAGATGTGGCTCTGCACTTCCCTTGGTGCCCACTTTTGGCGTATATTTAATTGGAAGATTATGCATCCATCTAGCAACAGTGTAAATAAATTAATTAAATTGTGAGCTTGACAGCAGGAGTGACTGGGAGGGAATACAGCTGGGAGATAAAAACCACCACCAGACCATCAGAACATCCCAGTTTCCAACAAAGAGGAGGTAGAGCTCCTGCAGGAGACGTGTCTGGGGCTGCTTCTCCATCATTACATGCAGTGATAAATCTGGGTTTCAAGGCTTGTTGTTTATTACTGATGGCATTAAATTCATTACAATAATTATGAATTATTGGTAATTTACGTGTTCTTTATTTGAAAGCATACTTTTCATTAAAAGTTGACTTTATTGGTGAAGGCATTAACTTCTGAAATTCAGTATTGGAGTTTGTGTGTGTGTTTGTGGATATGTGTAAACATTAGATTGCTGCATTGTTGCAGCCCTGCCATCAGTGTAAAAGAATTTATCCTAGGGTGTCATCTCCAATTAATATTGTCAGTAAAAACCTGACCTGGATTAATGGAAAGGTATCCACTGGCTTGGGTGATTTTTCTTTTAAATGAAATCCCAAAGAAAGCATGACATGGTGTTCACAGAAGAACCACAGTTCAGGAGGGGACCCAGGACTAGTAACTGTCAGTATTCATTAAAAAAAACCCCAAATTGGCTGTCTCTTCAGTTTGTGTTAATGCAGACCCTAAAGTTTTTCCAACTCTTCCTTCCAAATCCTTTTGGAGACATTCCATGTGCCAGCAATGTGTCTAAAATCCAACTGTTTGTGTGCAGGCTTGGTATCAGAAATGCCTTACTCATTTTGAGTGGAAAACATGGACTTCATGTTATGTGGCATTGGATTTGGAAAATGAAACAGCAACTGCAGCCTCCTCCTCCTCTTGAAAAGGGCATGGAGCTTCCTGATGGACAGGGGAAGGAATTCACCACTGGCAATGAATGGTGCTGATGCCCAGGAGTATTTTGCTTGTATAATTACCATGCTGAGGTTCCAGAGGAGGTGAGTGGAAGGTGCTGTCCTTGTCCTTGCTCTCCTAGCCTCACACAGCTGTCTTTTTCCTGGAGTTTTTTCAGGGAGGCAGCTTGGGCTAGTGAGGCTTCATCTCATTTTAACAGTAGGAAAAAGAAGGGGATGAAGAGTGAAATAATGTGTTGAAACTTCTTTCCACTCAGGGCTGGAATCCACAGGTATCCATGAAACCACTTAAAATGGTATTGTGGAATGTGATATTGACTTCCATGAGGATCTCTGTGGAAAAAGTGTCCTCTCTGGAGGAACCACTGTGTGTATCCTGGGATTTGGGATCATATGCAGAAGGAGAGGACAGTTTGCCTCCAAGTACTGTGAAGATCAAGGTGATTTTTTAACATTTTTATTGCTGCCAGTTCCATCTTAAGGTGATTTTTCCTTATTCAAATGGTCTCTTAATGGTAAAAGCTGCAAATCTGTCAAAAAGGGGTTTTTCAAAGTTCTGCTCTAGCTACCTAAAGTGAGAGAGGTTGATCTTACCTTCATTCCTGCTTTTGAACAGCAGTCAGCTCAAATTCCCAGTGTCCATGTCCTCTCAAGCAAATGGAAATCATATTTTCCTCAGCCTCTGAGTGAATTTTACTTTATTATTCTGGTTTCAGTTGGTATGACTGCTCAGGTTGCTAATAAATCACCTTACATGTAGGAACAGCACTGTTAGCTGGCCTAATCACCTGCCTGAGCATCATTAGTTACATTTCAATCTCGACTTCTTGTAGGTGTGGTGGTCAAGAGCAACAACCCTGGTCCTCAAGTCTCTGCAACCAAATTACGTTTGCAGTCCCCACAGGATGAAAGTAAAATTCCATTAAATTTGCCAAGAATTTACATGCCCTTTTTTCAGTATTAATGAAGGATATTCTTTAGGTTTTCAAATTTTAATTTGTGTTTTATACAAACTATTTTGTTACTTCCACGGTTGCTTCTTTTTTTATTTGGTAATAAGCTTCCATTAACTCTCAGAATTGCTTTAACAAGGAAAAATTGTCATCATCATTTGAATGTTATTCTTTCTAAATGAAAGAAAAATCTATCCAATACAAGAAGAAGCAGGCATTCCCACTCACACATTTTTTTTTTCTAAGGGGAAACACCTTCTTTTCTTAGGAGTAAATTGTAGAGGAAAGCATGCATCCACATGAAGGTTCCCTTACGTATAAACCAGCCCAGGTGCAGTGGCTTCTGTGGATGCAATTTATTAAATCCACTGAGTATTTGACACTGAGATTTTAAATGGGAGTTTTGGAAGTGATTGCTGAGCCTTCAGTCTCCTCTGACTCTGCAATTCAATTCTGCATTTCCCATCAGGGATGTTTTCCTGGTAAAAGGGAGGTTTCCCTCCATTTTTGCTTCCAAGTTAGATGTTCCAACTGTGATGAAATTTTCTTGGAAAAACTTAGTGAACTCTCTATTAGGGCCTTGCTGACATTTTAAGAATCTCCAGATACAAGAAAATATGTTTTTTAAAAGCAGCAGTGTTTTTGAGGTGCAAAATAGAAATGGAAAATCCTGAAACTAATCATTAACCATTCATTAAAATGGTTGTTGGTCATGTTAATTGGAGCTTCAAAGAAGAAATGACATTTGCTTTACCTCATGTGTGCAGAATAGGGAGGGAAGAGAGAAAAATATATAGTGGTGAAAACAAATCACCTTTGTGGAAAACTTCTTGAGGTCACTGAGGACACCATGCCTGGGATAAACTGACCCCTTTTTCATTCTGCCAAACTTTTAATGAAAGAGGAAAAGGGCCTGGTGATCTTTTGCTGCAGAGGTTAATAATGGATGATCCTGATGAGCATTTCATGTAAAAAGCAAAGCCTGCAGATCTCATTACCTGGGCCTCCCGATTGTGCATTCCCATCCAACAAGAGGAGTGGAAAATACACTTGAGACAATTAAAAAGGGTTCTAGTGGGCAGCATTCACATTTCTGATTCCACTCCCAGTGCACTTCCCTTCTTAACAGGGACAGAAGAGGCCCCTGAGGTCATCCAGGCTATCTGCCCTCGTGCTGCTGGCTGAGACATGTGGCTGGCTGCAGTGAAGGGCAAGGTGGGAGCAAGATTTGGGTCCCACTTAATTGACTAGCAGTTACTGCAACCCTAAAATGCTAAAATTCTGTTTTGCCTGCATTCATTTTTGGTAAATCTCTTGATTTTTCTGCAAATCTACAGGCAGAAAAGCTGGGCAGAGGTGCTGAGCCTTGTCTAGAGTGTGACAGTGTGGCTGAGTCTCCATCACACTGACCAGGGTGCAAAAGCACAGAGCAGTGAAAACCACCCAAATTCCACATCCCTCTGTGCTGGTTTAGCAGGACATTCCAGAAGACACAGAAGAAAGAAGACAAAGAACACAAAGAAGACCAGAACTGCAATGTGGTGACAACAAACAATGAAAGGTGCAAGCTTTGAGGTGAGTTAAATTTGTGAAGGTGGAAGCGGAGCGAGGTGAGGAGCTGCTGTGGAGGAGAATGAGATTAACAGGGTAAAATAGCTCCTGTTTAAGGTTGGCCTCAGGCAAGAATGAGTTTGTCAGTGTAATATGTTGTTGAATTTTAATATGGAAATGTCTCCTGGCATGTATTTCAAACACACTACAAATAGTGATATTGATCTAACCTTCAATTAATGGGAGAGGTCCTCTGTGAAAATCGGATCTGGGTCTGAATGGCAAATAGCTTTAATATTCTGAGGACAGTGGATCATTTGCACAGCTCAGAAAGAGACTATAAATCACCAGTATTAGGGCTTTTTTAAATTATCATTTTAATGCAGGCTTGCTTTCCCTGGAGCAAGGGACCAGGAGTGTGGTAAATCATTAAAAAATCATAGAGGCGGTGTCAGTAGGTACAGACAACAAATAATCTACTTGTGCTAAAAGGAATTATTTGAAATCCATTCATTCCTGCTCTCTGTTGCCATGTTTTTAAGGTATCTGTGCTCTTTTGGGATGGAATGAACACTCTCCCTTTTGCTTTTACACAATCTGTGGGTGTCTTCCCACTTTTGGTCCTCACAGAGCATCCATCCTAAGGGGCATTTTTTAGAGCAGTCTGAGACAGAACCAAAGCTGATTGTTCCTTGAGATGGGAGTAGCAAGATTATTCCTCATGGCTTCTTCCAGCTGTGTCTTCTGTACATTGTGTGTGTGTTTGTACATATGTACAAACCTTAGATTGCTTCATTATTGCAGCCCTGCAGGGAAAAAAAAAAAAAAAAAAAAAAAAAAAAAAAAAAAAAAAAAAAAAAAAAAAAAAAAAAAAAAAAAAAAAAGAAAAAAAAAAAAAGAAAGAAAAAAGAAAAAGAAAGAAAAAAGCTGTTGGCAAATAACCCTTCTTTGCCAAGAAGTAACACATGGTTTCACTGAAGTTGATGCTGATACTGAGCAGTTTTCTAGAGAGCTGTTCATGTTCAGGCTGTGAATTTAGCAGATTTACTCTTAATTGATTTCCTATCTGGCCCAGAAAAAACAATGCTCTTAAAAGGCTTGGAAGCCTCTAATTAAATCAGATAAAAATTTCAGCCAGCCCTGGCTTCCATTGCTCTGTGAAATGCCCAAGATGAGAGATCAGCTTGAATGTGGGCAATTCCCTGTCCAGCCAGCCTCTCTTGGGGATGGTCAGGAAGGATTTCCTTCTGGAAGCTCCTTCACTCTGGCTATCCTGTAAAGACTATTTTGCTGTGCAGGTTGCTCCCTAAATCAGCTGTTTGGCTCACCCCCAGAGCTGCTGAATTAACGTGATGTGACCCAGGGATGCAAAGGGATTTCTTTCCTTGTCGGGGCCGGGATGCTCGGGAGAACACAAAGATGGGTTTCCTAGACAACAGCTGATGTCACTGGGACAAAGTACAGAGGCTGAGTGGGGAGTTTGTGAAGAGCAGGGATCAATTTAGGGAAAAAAATAATGAATAATGAAATTACAGATTTTTTATTTCAGAAACAGAGACCTGTTTCTGAAGTCTGGGAAACGGCTCTTGGAGAAGAGAATGAGAAATAAAAATCCCTCACAAAGAAATGCAGTTTATAACACAAGTACATCACCTCCTGAAGTCTCTACATGCTCCAGTCTCAAAGTCACAATCCTCACTGAGCTTTTTCCCCAGAATAAAACAATCCAGCATGATAATCCTTCTGGAACAAACCCAGATGGCACCATGGACATGATTTCATTTGGATGAAGTTTGACTTCAAATTCCATGCAGGATAAATAAACCATCTCTCCTCTGCTCTGGATGTGCTCACGGTAGGAAGGCTGCTAGTTAATATTTAAGTGCCATTCCTGACAGCAGAGTTTTGTGCATCAGCTTGACAAACCAGCTCCTGTCTAGCCCTGTGGTTCACGTCTGAAAAGCAGGTTAGAAACTTGGATGCATCATTCATTTTCATCAGCAGCTAGAGAAGGACTAAAGTTCCCTCATCTGACCACTTCAAAATTATTTAAAAGATTATTTTTCTGTGCTTAAAACAATAGCCCTCTGGGCTAACATTTGCTTTAGAGAACTATTTTAGGATCCTAAAGGTTTTGAGGCTGCAGTTTCCCAGACTTCCAAGCTGAACTGTTGGCCTGTTGCCATCAGCAGGGCAGGGGCTTTTCCTCCCCTTTCAGCACTTCTGCTGCCATTCCTTCTGCCTGCCCTGGCCAAACAAAAGGGCTGCTTTTGTTCCACGATGACTAATCAGCTTCCAGATGGGTTAGTGAGTGGAATTGTCTCGTGAATGGTCCTGGCAACCATCACAGCTGATGCCAAGCAAAGTGGGAGACCAGGGGGGTGTTGGCTGCCCCTTCCATTGGCAGGATTTTATTGCATTGCCCTCTTGTTTTGTGGAGCTTCGGCATCAGGAGAGGGGATGTGGTGTGTGCTGAGGAACAGGAGTTCTCATCTGTGGCCAAAATTCAGTAACACCTCTTTCTCTAGGCTTGGACCAGCACTCTTGCATCATTCACCTGAGGGTTTTATAACCTTTTACAATAAATTCTCGTGAATTAACGAATATGACAGGAAAAAGGAGGATGGGAACCACGGTCAATCAGCCTTGTCTCAGTCTTTAGGAAGATTAAGGAGCAATTCCTCAACAAAACTCTTTACTTGAGGAACATGAGGAACATGAACTCCAAAGATCTCTTCCAGTCTAATTTTTTTCCTCATCTGTCATTGCTTTGCCTCTTTTACAAGTGTAAAGTAACTTTGACCAGTGCTGCTTTCAGTTCTATTAGAAAAAGGAGGAATAGCAGTAAACACCTCTGACTTTATTTCTTGCTTTGAATTACTTCTTTTCCTCTCTCAAAACTATTTCTTAGGCAAATATCGTTCTGAGGCTCATGCTGGGAAAATATGTTGGTAAAGTTTGTTGGAATATGAACTTGCATAAATTCAGAGCTCTGGGACACTGCAGTTTATTGAGCTGCTTGCTGGACCAGTTTTCCTCCCCACTACCTGCCAGAGGATGTCACAGTTACAAACAAAAGATGCACTAAATGAGCCAAATTTCTACTTTTTGCACTAAAAAAGTGTTCTTGCCTTAAATCTTTACAGTCTCCTCCAAGAAAGCTTTGACTTCATCAGGAGGGTAGCCTGAGGAAGGGAATAAAATTCAACCTGGACTGTGTGTTCAGTGAGGATTTATTTTGTGCTTTATGAACCTGGACTGAAGGCTTCTTAACAGATGTCAGAGATTTTACTGGGAGGAATTGTCAAATCTCCATGAGAAAAGCTTTCTCCCTGGTTTTATTAGTGAGCTGTATCCATGCAAGGGAATTCTGCTGTAAATAGAGCTAAAAATGTGTGTCACAGTAACAGTTTCATCATGATTTTATTGTCAGGGCAATGCACTCTTGGCATTTGCTTCTAATTGTTTTCATTGTGACTTTCTGTGCTCTGTCCCAGCAAAACATCAAGGCAGTGAGGTGCTGCTGCTCCTGGGCTTCTGTGCCCTGGCAAAAGCAGTGTCAAGGTTATTGTGGGAGTTGTATTTAAATTGGGAAGCATTTCAAAATGAGCACTGCTTCAAATGGTACTCCCTGCAAAAAGTGAAATGTCCAAAAGTAGCTTCCAAAGACACTTCTTAGTGCTGGAGAGATTATTGCCATTCCCCAGGCACAGGAATCCTGAAGAGGCTAAACCAAAAACTGCAGGAGTTCATTGTGAGAATCCTGGGCTGCTGCCAGGAAAGCTGAGCCATTTTTCTTTCTTATTTTTTAATTTTTTAAATTGAATTGCTGAAATCTCATGGATTAAAAAACAAACAAAAAAAAACCCCAAACCCCCAAAAAACAACAACAACAAAAACCACTCCAAAAATAAACAAAAACCTCAAGCACAAAAGAATTAGTGGCTAAATAATTTCTATTGGCTTTGCTGTCCATGATACTCACTTGGAAACTGATTCTCAAAAGCTAAAATTAGATTGGCATCATATTAAAAGCCCTGGGATTTGTCATGGTCAATAGAACTGAAATAAAAACAGTTGGCAGCAACCTTTCTTTCCTACAGAGGTATCCTGCTAAAGTCTACTCAATTATACATCATTTATCAATCATAATGGTGTCATGGTTACATTAATTAACTGCTAGTTTAGTCAGACTAAACTTTATATCTCTCCAAACAAAGAGCTCTTTTATTATAACAAAAATCAATCTCACTTGTTAAACTTCTGCATTAAAACATAGAAAGTTCTCTGCTGTTTTTGTTTTTCCTCCTACTACAGCTCAGCATTAACACAGAGCTTTTGGTTGTCATTAACTAATACAGATGTTAATTAATTAATCATGCTTGCATAGTTCTCTATTAAATTGCCAGTCTACTAAAATTCATCCTTTCTGTTCCCTAAGGGTATTTGGTATTTCAGTGAGGTCTTCTGTTAATTTTCTCTTCTCCACAGCATGTTTAACCTTCTTTTGCTGTCATTTAGAGGCATTATTATCTCAGTTATCCTCTGTTGAACCTCCTGTGTTGTCCATTTTTTTTCCCTGGCTCTAATCAGAGCTGTGCAGTTGCCCCAGATTCTCCTCTGATTAAGTGTAAAAAGTCAGGAAAAAAACCTGAATCAGGGTTAACTCTACTAGAAGTCAGATTGTAGAATTCAGACTTCTGGTTCATATTAAGATGCAATTGCTTTCATTTGTATTTATTTTTAATGAGATTTACACAATGCCTAATCACACACAGATCGCTGTGTGTGATTAAGCATTGGCCAGTAAATTGTGTCTGGCTTATGTGGAGAGAAAAAAAAAAAAAAGAAACTTGGAAAGATTAGGAAAAAAAAAGACTCCAGGAATGATTTGGAATCTCAAAATCATCGTGAATAATGAGAAACTAAAAAAGCCCGACCTGCTCCAAGGTAAGGGAACTTGGAGAAAAGCTGTAGAACCTGCGGGGAAAGGATAGCAGAGAGCTCTGAAATTAAGCAAAATGCACCAAACCCCAGAGTTTGGGAACTGGAGAACTGGAGACAGAGTAGTTCAGGGTATATTTCAGACTGGCTGAGAGTAATTAAGCATCAGAACAATTAACCTATGGACACAGTGAATTTGTTGAAGTTTTTAAATTGAGACTAAGTATTTTTCCTGGATATGTGGTTGTTCAGACAGGAATTACTGGGTGAGATTCCTTGGCACTGCCTCTTGTATGAAGTCAGGATAATTCATCACAGACTTTCAGCCTTGAAATTTAAGGCTCCAAATCCAAATGTCATCTGCTCAAAACCTAATTTTCTTTTCTTTCTTTTTTTTTTTTTTTTTTTCAAGTGTTTGGTGGGAAACACAAATCATCTCCTCTCTTGGGGTTCTTGCCCACACACATTCCCAACTGTTTTCCTTGGAATAGTGCAGAATATGCCTGTGATTCAAGACCCTTTACTCCTGTCCTGTAATGTAAAATCTTTTAATTTATTCCTGTTCTTTGCTATTGCACTGCCTGGAGTTTGATTGTGGTAGTTGCTCCCCTGTTGATGTTTCATTTCCAGCTGGTTTTATACACATATAGATATAAATATGTATGTAAATAACAATGTTTCCTGCAAGCCATGTAATTATACCTGCAGATCTTCTCTCTGCCAAACCTCTCCTGTTATTGCTGCTTCCTCAGTGAGGCAGTGGGAGATTTGTTAGGCCAGCTCTCTGTGGGTAAATCCATGCTGCAATTTAGCTATAATTTGCTAAGTGATCCATGCCAACTATCTCCTGCTACTCCTGCTATTTTTATTATTCAAATCATGCTTGCAGAGCTGTCTGGTTGGTTTTTTTTTTTTTCCTTTTCCTATTCTTCTTGCTCTCTCAAATAAATGTAACACAGGTTTCATCCTGTTCTGTCAGTCCCAAGGAATCTCTTCCTTCTGTTCCAGCTGCACAAATTTCTGCTAAGTCAGAACCTGAGTTGTCATTTCTTTGTCTCTCCTCCCCCTTGAATTTGTATGCAGCCCCTCCTCACTCTCTTTGTGTAAACCAAGTGAAGGATAATGTAGTTCTATGCCTTGTGGGACACCTTTCTTCCAATTCTACCTCTTTTTTGTCTGCTTTATTTATCCACAAACCTGCTTTTCTCATCTACTTGTTGTTCCTTGCCTGGAAGCGCATCCTGTGTGGCACTTGGCCTTCACCTTGATTCCCAAATCCCCTTCTCTCCAATGTCCTTGCTATAAAAGAGTGTTTTGGTGCTGCCTTGCAGACAAACGATGCCCACCCACGGGTGAAGTGCTGTGGCACTGAGCAGCTCCTTGCTGCTCCCTGCACCTCACATCTGTGCTGGAAGTGTAACATCTCTCAAGGCAAGGATGTTGTAGCCTCTTGCTAAGGCACTGATGACCCATTTTTATTTTCCCTCGTGCTGTTCAAAGACAAAAGAAGGTGAGACCATCCGAGGGGGTTCTCATGATTAATTGGTCTCTGCTACCTGTCCCAGAATGCAGATTGGAACTGGAACGCGCCGGCTCCCCGAGCTGAATTCACAGAAAGCAGCTGGGGACTTTTCTAATAAGCAGCAGCAACACACACCTGCCACTAAATGTGTGAATGGTCTTTGAAATTCTGCCTTGTTTCACGCATCAAAGCAGCTCTGGCTTTGGATGCAGTTACTTAATTCCATTTACATCCCCTCCCGCGTTGTCTGTGCCAGTCTGAGAGAGGCACTTGGAGAAGGATGCTTTCCTGTGTGCTACATTCATGTCTCAGTTTAAAGCCACAGGTGGTGCCTGCTTCCCATTCTTCTGGCTGCATCCTCCCTGATGAGCTGCTCCTTTGGCACATAATAACGGGGAATCAAGCGAGCTGCAGCACTTGTGCTATCATTGTGGTGCTTCAGCAACCACTGCCACATGGGAATTTGTTTTCCAATACTTAGGAAGTGAGGAAAGTGACACCCCCTTCACATCAATGGGGAACAGCAGAGCAGAGATGGGGAAATGCA